GTTGGAGCCACCACAATATCCTTATGAGTGATGCCTTGAACAATCAGGCTTAGAGACATCAAAAATGGGTGTTTTGTGCTGGTAATAAAATAAATGGCCCTGAGGTCATGGCAAAAGAGAGAAAATGAAAGGGAAAGAGAAAGATTTGCACTTAACTTTACATTGTTTTTTTATTTTTTTTATTTTTTTTAAAGATTTTTATTGGGGAACTGGGGGATAGGAACAGTGCTGGGGAATTGGCAGAAGGGGAACAGACAAGTTGCTGTCGTTTTGTTCTTCAGTCTAGTTGTGGAGGATGTTGTTTCACTGGCCCAAGTTGGCACCATCATTACGCTCTTCCCGGGCAAGGCAGATCAGTCGCCAGCTTCTGGACAGCCGCTCACGCTGGCTGCTGGCTACACACAGTGGCCCATGGCAACCCACTGCCACAGGGGTTGCAGCTTGCGCCGTTGCCGGGGACTCACGGCAGCCCAGCTCCAGGTTGAGCTATTGTTCAGCATCTTAGCTGTGGAGGGCAGTGTCACTGGCCCTCATATGTGGGATCCGAACCGGGGCCCTTTGGCGTCCTAAGCCAGCTCTTAGCCAATGCACCACTCGGCCGGCCCAACTTTACATTTTAAATAATGTATAGTGTTAGTCTCAGCAGTATAATACACTCAGTCGTGTGATGTGAGAATATATGGTATTTTCTAAGTGCTTTCCGGATCCTAGCTGGCTGAATTTAGGAGACACTGAAAATCAAACAGCACTCTTATTATTCAGCTTAGAAAACAAGACTAGGACAAGTATTTGTTCTTTTCTACTGCTTTCCACTATGCAAACTCAAAGCTGTAATTCAGTAAAGATGGAGGCATCACAAAATATAATATGTCAATATCTCATCATGAGGACTTCTAACTTAGTAGTGGGATGGGAGGAGCAGAGACCAAATGCCTGCCATCCTCCCTGCCCCAGTTTGACAATAGTTCAATCTACAGAGGCAGCAAATAGCCCACTCCACTCCATTGCCAAGGCTAAGAGTGTCAGTCATGGTGGCTTTGCATCGCTCTGCACTTCTAGGCGTTTCTCTTTGGCTCCTCTCTGTGAAACCTGAGTGTGCCTGGCACCACCTGACACTAGGCTGAACTGAATCACACACACCACCACATCACACTGCACTGCCTCGAACATCCACTCCTGGGTGCCTTCCTGAGGGCACCTCCCATAGGTGGGAGATAATGTGCTTGGGCTGATAAACATGTTCATGTTCACAGCTGGAACCAATTTTCACAGAGGAAAGGCAAAATATCATGTGGTTTTCCATTTAGACAGGATGCTCCTTGAATAAAAAAATACCTGATATACAGTGAGTTGTAGCAGGAGGGCAGCTTGAGTGCAAACACTGAACACCAGTGCAGAAGCAGTGCTATGAGAAAACACAGTATCCAAAGATGAGACCCTCACGTGCAGAAGCAGTGCTATGAGAAAACACAGTATCCAAAGATGAGACCCTCACATGCAGACTATCGTCTTCTGGAAACCGAGGACCGAGTCATTTTCACCACTGTCACCCACAGTGTTCCATAGAGAATAAGTACTACATGCATACTGCCTGAATGAAATCAAGAGCATCCTGGGGCCCACAGACGCTAAGCAAAATCAGTTGGTTGCTGGCCCTTTTAAAATGCTCTTTAAAAAAGTCCCAGCATCAATGCCACTGTGAGGATACCACAACCTTTTAGTTAAAGGAGGCACAGGTAGCTCCGTGTTGTGGCCATATAGGGGGATCTATTTAGATGAGGTGTTCTACATAAGAATATAAAAATGTGCAGGAAAAAAACTCACTAATTCTCTAAAGGAATTTGAAATAAAATCAGATTCTGTATTCTTTTGGGGATGATGAGTAATCATAATGCTTTGTCATCATGGCACCTTATTACCTTGAAGGAAAAAAAACTGTTTTGAGAAACTGCAGAGCTTCTCTCTTGCTTCCTCACAGTAAAGCTAAAATGAAAGACCTTGTGCTAGAGCCAATAGTATTCACTTTTCATTCTGAAGAAAGGTAAAACTGGATAGGTTACTATACACGAAGAAATTTAAAGAATACACCGTGGTCTATAGATCACAACCTAATAAGTAGTGGGGCTCATAAGACGAGACTCTTCCACTGTCACACTCTTTATGTCCCCAGCCAATCATGGGCTTCCCGATGCAAACAGAATTTTTTTTAAGGGTGCCAGATTATATTTTGTGCCACTGCATATTTATTTATAAGTGCCCTTTCAGAGGTTATATTGGAGGAGATATTAATATCATATGCATTTCATTATAAATCACCCTGACTTGTATATCATGCCCTCCACCAGCAAGACTGTAAGCTGCTGGAGGACAAGGGCCATCTCTCACCTACTCTGTAGAAACCACATAGTGGCTCTAACGGCATGTCCTCTACAAAGCCTTCTGTGATGGCATGGCCTCAGCAGAAGGTGACCACCCTCCAGTATCCCGCTGAATGGAGTACCTGCACTACCCCTTTACCTCAAGATTTTGGCACATTTTCAGTCCTCTATGTATTTCAAGCCCTTGAAGAATTAAAAAGTGCTCTTTCTTACCAAACAGCTGCGATCCACATCCTAAAAAGTCAAGACTTAAAGCTAGCCACGAGTAGATACACATTAATCAAGTTAAATTACAGAATGGCCATTTTTCTTATAGTGCAATTATCTTTGGCTTTAAGACACAGATGAATCATTAGGGCTCTGAATCTCTTCTGGCAAAGAAATACAGTGTGAGCTGAGTGCTCAGCATTGTGAGTGTCATCAGAACAAGTTCTATAGATACGAATAGGCCGAGTTAATCCTCCTTCATTACCTCTATTAGCTAACAATGCACACATAGTTATTACATATAATTACTGCTCTAAGAGACATGGACATTTGAAATATTAACTTTCCCACAGACTCCAAATCTTCAGGAAGCAGCTCTCAACAATTCATTATATTAATCATATAGGTCATGATACTCCTATTAAATATGCATGAGATTAAACACCACGCATGTTACATACTGTCCAACATCATTTTTAATATAATTTATTACCTTTTAGATACTGTAATTATAACGGCATCTAAAAGCCGCTATAATAAATGTAAATTTAACTACCTGGCTTGGAAGTAACCAGTACTATAACTCACTACACTTTTATCATGCATTCAAGTGAGAATATTTTATAACACAAAGTATAGAATATTTTAAAAGTTAATGTTTTATGACATAGGAATGTGTACTTCAAAATTGCATGAATAAATGGTAAATTAATTTTCTTATTACATAGACAAATAATTCAAAATTGAAATTATCAAGAAATGAGCATATAATATATTGATATCTACAAGACAAAGTGCACTTTAAAGTATGGTTTGGTGTATTATGATGTCATATTCATAATCAAATACTTTATAGGCTTTATAAATTCTACATTTACGCAAATTATTACAACAAAAACTAGATTTGACCCAAAATAAAACAAACATAAAACCCACTAGAAAAAAAGAACTTCAAATGAAGGTGAAAAATATATCACTAACCTTGGATCAAGATACTCTAACCTTTATGATTAGTATGGCCACAGATTATTAATTTATGCATAATAATGGAAATAATAGCCACAGTTCACACGTACCAAGGGCTTACTTAACTTACTGTGTCAGGCACTGTAATTAGTGCTTTACATTCATATCTCATTTGATTTCCACAATTATCCCGTGAAGGCAATATTAATATTATGCATTTTACAGATGAGGGAATAGAGGCTTACATAGATTAAATGACTTGTCCAAAGACACAGGGTTTGGCAGGAGAGGGGTCTGACTCCAAGTCTATCCTCCTAACCATACAGTCAGCACCCAGCGGCCAGCTCTGATCCATTACTCCCTGTGCGGCCTTGGCTAAGTCACCTGAAGTCTCTAAAGCTCATTTCCTGTAGCTGCAAAATGAAAATAATATTAATATATGCCAGTATAACAGAGAACTAAATAACATAATTCATGAGAAAGTACTGTGCAAGTTGTACAGCTATGTTACTGTTGAGATAAAAAAACAAAACGTTGAAAAAGACAAATCTGCTTATTGGCTCTTGGTCCAAAATTTCCTATAAAAATAGTATACCTAGGTAAACTTTCCTGGTTGTTTTCCATTGCTTAACATAGAAACTCTTACATAAAAGCAAACATGAATCAGTATCTTTATTATACCCTGAGATAGCTAGATAAGTACTAAATAGATTAAGTTGTAAGTGAATAGTAAAGCTAGAAATGTAACTTTGTAGATGGTAATCATGAAAACTGTGTTCACGCCATGAGATTTGGTCTTTCAAAGAGCTCTTCAAACTGAGACTTTGTACAGTTACCTGAAGTCACTATCAGGCTCTAATTTACTATCCACATACATATTTTGATTTGTGGCAATATTTAAATCCTTAGGGTCAGGAAGGGAAAATAATATTCAAAAGTCTCATCATTCATCATTTTAGATAAGTGATATATTATCAAGCAGGCTTATTTTTTCATAGGGCTTTGTAGGTTAAAAAATAATTTCATATGCATATGTCAACCCAGATCCTAAAACAAGCATTTGAAAATCTGAGATTAGGAAACTGGAATTTTCCAAGCTTAACAATAAGGAATCTATATATCTGTATGTTGGAGGGGTGTGTGTGTATGTGAGCATGCAAATATCTATCAACATATAATTTTATATATCTAGTGGCTTTCCACCTTTCTTCATGTCTATATTGCTAAGGATTTAAAGAAAGAATATATAGCCAAAAGGAAAAATAGGAACAAAGGGGCCACATATTTCCAGTAACTCCTTTATTCACTTCAAGGCACTCATTTCATTAGATGAGGAATACGGGAAACCTTTATTTGCATAAACCTTAAGTCACAATTTCAAATATCTTTATTTGATGATTTGAAGAAGAAAATTGTAAAAGCATGGAGAATCTCCAAGGTGCCACCTACCTCCCGGCCGTTCGTGTTCTCCGTCCGTATGTAGAAGCATGGCAATGGGCATCCCTACATTCTTGGATCTTCCAGCCACAACCACATTTTTTCCAAATGTTTCAATTCCTTAAAACACAGAGTTTAATTTAAATAAAGAAGAAATAACAAGAAGCAAATTAAACATTTGAACAGCCAACTGAAGCATTCTTTATAAACTGCTAATTAAATTTGGATTATTGTATGGCTTGTCTATAACGTATCTATATTCATTATTTATAAATATTTCTTTTTACACTTTGTGGATTTGCCACTTTCTCTCAAGTATGTCTTCATTTAAAAAATCACAAATATCTTAAAGTTGCCATTAAATTACCTTTGAGATTCATATTCTTCATATGAATTAGAAGTTCAGAGACTTAAACTATATCAACTACTAATTATAAAGTAAGCAAAGTACAAAAATGTCAAGTTAAATTGGCAATCACACTTTGACCACAACTGGGACAAAATGAATAGGGAAAAAAGTATTTTTCACAACGCTCATGCACTTTACTCCATAGGAGAGAAGCACTAAGGAATTTAAAAAGGTATGAAAGATAAAACTTGCAGATTTAACACACTTTACTTCTTTGGGGCATAGTTTTTTCATAAGTGAAAAGAAGAAGTTAGAATTAAGGTTTCTTCCAAGTACTAAGATTCTAAAAGTATGATTCTAGGATCTGCTTTCCCTTAGAAATTTTCTCCTTTAATTAGAAAACAGCAGATTAGAAAGGAGAAAATGCTATCAGACATGGAAGTGATAGGAGGCAGGAGAATCATCAATATAAAAGGCATATGGGGTCAATTAATGTAGTGGTAGGCATCTCTCTATATACCTCGAGGGACTGTGAGGGCTTCACATATGGTATTTAGAACACAATTCAAGGGTAAATGTTTATATTAAAAACCTAGGTCATTAGAGATTCAAGTATGTTCAGCACATTTTATTTTTAAAGATAAAGAAAGATATAATACATTTTGAAAAATATACATAAAATATATATTGTTTTTAGTTTAAAAATTTAGAAATTTGTAAACAAAATTTCTATTTAGAAATTTTTACTAATTTACTATTTAGAAAATTCACTCCCTGCAAAATGTAAGAGCAGTTACATATAACCTCAATTTATTTTATTTTGGACTATTCTTCAACTTATATAACTTTATATATTTCTACAGATTGCAGTTTTATAACTTATCATATTCTTTCACTCAGTGGGACTAAGATGGTCCCATCAAGGCAACACACAAGCGCTTGGTTTGGCACGTAGCACCCACAACCTGTAAACCACAAGTTACCAACCTGCTCTTTTGATTATTTCCCAAACAGCACTGGCAGTGGCAGGTATGAAAGAATGCTGATCAAGGCACAGTCTTCCAATATTGATAATATGAAATCCATCTACATCTTTTTCAGGGGCAATTCCATTGCATACTGTTCGCTCATCCACATGGTCTGAAAGGTAAATAAAATTGGTCTAATTTTACAATTGATTTTTATTTGGAGGTCTGGGAAATGAAATCTAAGGCCCTACAATCAGATCACTTATGACTCAGCTTCAGTAAAGGTGTAAGATCATTATTCTGTTCCTTTTCTTGCCACCAAAACAGTAAACCAAAGTGCTTTTGACCAATGGCTTTAACTGCTGTAAAAGAATATGCAATTACAGGGCCAGAGTGGCTAGCCCTAGTGAAAGGGAAAAATCTGTGAAATAAACAATAGTAATGAGATCTGGGAACAGCCAGATGATAAGTCTTTACCATAATACATTTGCATATTTGAATTTCCATAATTTATTTGCATAATAAATTTGCATTTTTACTATACAAGATATTTTTGAATAGGCTTCCATTAAATATTTCTAGCATTATAAATTAAAAGGGCTTTGTTAGTGCTAAAAATAGTCATAATATTGTCAATGCCTAGCTTCCTCCCAAATGACACAACAAAAAAGCAAATATTGGGTTGTTGGAAAAGTCATGATGCATTTTTGCAATGAAAAACATGGAAAAAATATGTTATGGCTTTTCCGACGACCCAATATAAAACACACACACACACACACACACACACACACACACTACTTCCCTGAAGCACTAGCACATTGAAATTCAAAATATCATTATGGTTTCCTATATGAAAGAAAAAGAACATAACCTGAGTGATGAACTAATCAAATGAGATATGAGATGCCAACCATCTAATTTTGAAAAAAATAATAACTACAGAAACATAAAATAGGCTTTTACCACTCTAGGCAGAGTAGCTTAGCTTACCCTAAACCCCGCAATTAATCCATGTGCATAAAATATTAAAATAAAGGTATATTTGCTACATAAAAGTTTCTTTGTCCATTACACAATAGATTCCATTCAGACATAATTTTTATAAACATTATCAAAGCCCAAGTTCAAATTGTTTTCAAAGACCTACATCTTGTCTCATAGATCTTTCTATTCTAAAAGTGACACTACTGCCATCTTACTTTAAATAGATCCAATTTGTCATTATTACACTACCAAAGTCCTTTACATATAAGAAGTAGTATTTAAATCATGTTCAAATAGAAATTGAGTCTTTCCAATCAATAGTTTTTAACATTCAAGAATTGTATTCATTCTATAATGCTCTAGGAGTAAGAACTCCATCTATTTTCTTTGAAGTTAGAAAAATTATGTAGGTTCTAGTAGAACTTTTAAAAATTACATGTTTAATTTACTATTTGAGGACAAAAATAGTTGTTGTATTTTTAATCTGGAGGATAATGATGATAATGGTGATGGTGATGATGTTGATGATTCACATTTTAGACCCTTATCACTCATACAGAAGGTTCATGCCATGGATATTTTTTTAAATGAAATAAAAAGCTTGGTAAATGAAAAAAAATTATATGTGAAATCTCCATTATTGAGCTAGTATTTAAATTATTTCGATTCTAAGTTCAAAATTGGTTAATGTGGCCGTGACATCAGAAGCGTGGTGGCATCATGGGTACCCTTAATCTTTCACCTTTAAGTTACAAGTTGAACAGCTATAAGTCAACAAAGGATTCCCTGCACAACGTACAAACATGTCTGAGAGATCGGTGCATCAAAACATCTGAAGGTGGGCATATCCGGGAGAACAGGGGAGGAGGGAAGGGAGAAGAGCAGAGACAGGTACTGTAGATACAGCCCAGAGCTCACTGCAGGTCTGGAGAGAAGGGCGGAATCAGGCTGCAGGTGCACTCTCTGGTCCCCCAAGCATTCCTGCCTGAGTGAGTGATCAGCATACAATATGGCTGAATCCAGCGATCAGAGCATAAACTGCATGCAGAAATGCAAATACTGAGACAGCTGTGCCCTAGCAGCTGCCATTGCCAGAAAGAAAACAAAGCCATGGACCCTGGCTACCTCCCCGCACCCTCCCAGAGCTAGCGGTGAGACCCAGAAGAATCTGTAGCTGTGAGTGTTGGGTTACAAAGCAGAATATCTACAGCTCTGAGAACTGGAAAGACAGTTCCTGAGCAGCAGGCTTGCACTGTGGCTAATCCAGTGAGGTGGGTGGAGTTGTAGAGGTGAGGCAGCAGAGGTCTGGCAGTCATGGCCATTACTGGGAGGAGAAAAAGCCACAAACACACCAGTGGCCTCTCCCAGCCCATCCTGCCCCCACCCATCCCACTGATCCCAGCAGGGGCACCTGGGACAGCTCAGGCAGCACAGCACTGTGTCTGGCTGCAGAGGCAGCACTGGAGTTTCAGAGGCTCAGAACTACATTGCTCACCACATTCTCCCACAGGGGTGGTGCCCTGAGACAGAGACAACTTGGTCACAGAGGAGACGCCCACCTCCCCAGGGAATACAAGACATTTTTCTACCGCCCAGCAGAGATCCCGGAACAGTGCCAGAGAAAGTTAAACACTTGCACTCCAGCACCACCTACTGGAATATAAAAGAAAGGCCTCTTCTTATCAACCTGCTGCAGCGTTCACTCCTATAAATGCCTAGGCTGAGAAATAGTCCATCAAATATTAGGAAAAACCAAGGTAACAAGACAGCTCAGAAAGAAAATGAAAAAAAAACTCCAGAAAATAAACTTAAAGACAGGGAAATATGTGATTTATACGACAGGGAATTCAGCATTGCAGTTCTGAAAAAAATTCAATAAAATGCAAGAAAACTCAGATAGGCAGTTTAATGAACACAGAAATAAAATCAATGAACAAAAGGAATATTTTGCCAAAGAGATTGAAACTTTAAAAAAAGAACCAAATAGAAATTCTGGAACTGAAGAACTCAATAAAAGAGATGAAGAATGAAATAGCGAGTTTAGGAAATAGAGCTAACCAGATGCAGGGAAGAAGTAGTAATATCAGAGATAGAATCTGGAAATGAAATGACACAGATGAAAGAAGAGAGAGATTTGAGAGTAAAAAGAAATGAAAGAACTCTACAAGAACTATCTGATTCCATCAAAGAGCGATATAAGAATAATGGGTATACCAGAAGGAGAAGAGAGGGAGAATGGCACAGAAAGCCTATTCAAACAAATAGTCAACAAGAACATCCCAAATCTATGGAAAGAACTGGATCCTCAAATCCAAGAAGCAAACAGAACACCTAATTATCTCAATCCAAAAGGCCTTCTCTAAGGCACATTATATTGAAACTCAAAAATTAACGACAAAGAAAGAATTCTCAAGGCATCCAGGGGTGAAGAAGATGGTAACCTATCAAGGAAAACCCATTAGATTATCATCAGGTTTTTCAGCAGAAACTCTACAAGCAAGGACGGAGTAGAATCAAATATTCAAACTATTGGAAGAGAAAATGCCAGCCAAGAATAACTTATCCTTTAAGTTATCCTTTAGATGTGAAGGAATAATAAAGGCCCTTCCAGATATAGAGAAGCTGAGGGAATTTTCCACCACAAAGCCTGTATTATGGGAAAAACTGAAGGAGGTTATTCTATCTGGAATAAAAGGTCAAAAGAATACAAAATTATCAGTAAGATAACGAACAGACAGAAGCAGGAAATTGCAACCCTTATTCAGAATAGGGCACTACATACTTAAGTATATAACATAAAGGTTAAAGGAGGTACAATCATAAAAAAGGGGAAGAAGATAATAGCTACTGAAACTCAGAAATAAACTCATAGCACAAATAGGGATAATTTGTGACAATAAAGACATAAAAGGGGAGAGGGTAAAGGTCTGAATTTGCAAAGGGGAATGGAGATAAGATGCATGCAGGAGAAAATGGACTATTGTATATATGCAACTTTCTTTTACATAAACTTAATAGTAACCACACACAAAAAATCCACAACTGAGACACATAACACAAAAAAAGAGGAGGGCCAACCAAGTGCCACTATGGTTATGAGTTGGCTTAGGAGTGCCAGCTCTGACCAGCAGGGCCCTGGTTCGGATCCCATATGAGGGCCAGTGATGCTGTGCCCTCTACAGCTAAGATGGTGAACAACAGCTCGACCTGGAGCTGGGCTGCCATGAGTCGCAGGTGACAGCGAAGGCTGCAGTGGGGCGGCAGTGGGCTGCTGTAGCTACTATGAGTGGCCGGCAGCCAGCGTGAGCTGCCGCAAACCGCCATGAGTGGCCATCCAATGGCCAGCGAGTGACTGCCTCACCCAGGAAGAGCGCAGTGATCACAATACCAACATGGGCCAGTGAAGCGACATCCTCCACAACTAGATTGAAGAACAAAAGTACAGCAACTTGTCTTTTCCCCTTCCCCAATTCCCCAACAAAATCTTTAAAAAAAAAAAAAGAGGAAACTGAGGGAAAACATTATAGATTATTACTACACGCTAAAATAACAGACAGAAACACATGGGCAAAGAAACAATGGAGACATCGAGCTACCAGAAAAGAAAACATAAAATGGCTATAGGAAATAGTGAACAGGACTAGATCAAAAAAAAAAAAAAAAGCTCTAAGAGTTGAGACTCAGTCAACCTCAAACTACTACTAAGAGGAGGATCCAGAATTCAAATCCACATTTTTTACCCTAAAACCAGTTTTTCCTTCTGTATTATATAGAAATCATAAATATCAAACATTTTCAATACTGCTCAAAAATTAAAATTAGGACCTCCCCCCACCCTTTCTAATCAAGACATTTGATAATTCTAAAATATCTCAAGGAATATACTATTTCTTCTAGGCCTCCAACTACAACACTATTCCTAGATTAACTTATATGTATCTAAAACATGCAAAGTAAGCGTCAAACATTTTACAACAAATACTACCTTTTGTTATATGAGTAAAAGAAATAAATACATGTCATGCTTTTGACTGACTGCTACTGAAAGTCTCCTGATGTCTCACCCCTGGGGCCTAAGATCTGAAGGGAAGAAACAATCACAAAACTCAATAGCATTAATACATATTTTCACAATGGTTATAAAACATTTTTGATTCATAATACGTTAGCAAACAACTAACCACT